TAAAGTCATCTGTAGTAGCAGGAGGTGGGGGCATAACTGCTTTGTCAAGAGAAGAAGAGAAGTTGTGCTCTGGGGTCGCCTCATATTCCGTAGTGTCATCCCTCTCTTCCTCCCCTTCCTCTCTTACCTCAGAGGATTTGGGTACTGACGTTGGTGCAGAGCATATGGGCTTCCTGTGGGAAGAGGGAGGTCCGTGGAATTGAGACCTATAGGCTGCCCATGGATCCCATTGTGGCCATTGAATGGGAAATGGCATGCGAGGGCACATCCAGGAGTTAGCAAGCCACAGTGGCAGGTCCCTGGTGCTCTGTTCCTTGGGTCTATAATGAAATTCAGTGCCTGTTGGGGAGGAGTGTCCTGAAGAGAAGACTGCTTCCTCTGCATCGTCATCCTTATCACTTGAGAAAGGTGGAGCAATGGGAGAATCAGGTTGGCCTGGTGCCATTGGTACCAGGGAGCAAGTGGTGCCGAGTAGTGGAGATTAGGATGCAGATGACGCTTGCATGTAGATGTCTGTATTAGTGGGATCGGTGCCGACATATGCAGTGCCATATCTTTCTGTGCTGCCTCCTTACGTAGAAGTGAGGTTGATGTGGATCTTTTGTGCGTAGCCTTCCTAGGTGCCGCAGTCACCAGTTTTGGCAGTTCCGCTTTCAGTGCCGATGAACTTGGTGCTGGCGGGGGGGCCATCACATGTGGCAGAGGTTGTGGTACCTAGCCCTTTGCACAGGTAGTCGGTGCCATGGAGGAGGCAGCCGTTTTATGCCTGCCACTCGACTCCTTCATCCTGCCAGCAGAGGTCCCGGAGCAGACGGCGCCGGAAGTGCCCAGTGCATCAAAGGTGCTTACTCTGAATAAGGTCGGCACCATTGGCAGAGATCTCTCTAGAGACAGTTTCTTTTTTTATCAGTTCTCAGCTCGGTGAAGATGTGGCCCGTTTCCTCGATTTTACAGAGGAGGTGCCACTTAGTCTGTCAACAGAGGTTGTGCCTGGAGAGTCCCTTGTCATGGTCGGTCTGGAGTCCGATGTAGGAGTTAGGGATTTCTCCATTAAAATGAGTTTGAGTTAAAGATCCCTCTCTCTCCTTGCCCTAGCCTTCAGATTGTTGCATTGAGCACACTTCTGTGGTATGTGCAATTCACCTAAGCACTGGACACAAAGGAAGCGTCCATCAGAGATTGGTATTGCATCTTTGCAAGAAGTGCACCTTTTAAAACCTGGGGAGCCAGGCACAGCTGAGATGTCTGTTTAAAAATGTGGGATGCAAGCAGTTCCCCCCTGTCCCCCAACTAAATTTAGCTAACTAACTACACTAAAAAAAGTAATAAATTGTGACTGAACAAGGGTAAACTAAGCTAACAACTCTAATCCTATTTTAAAGTTCGTAGTGACACCACTAACGGACTCCGTCTCAAGCCAAGGATGGTTGAGAAGAAACTGAAGGGATCGGGTGTGCACATCCTACATGAGGCACCAGCAGCGCCCTGACCAGACACTGCTACCAAAAATCTCCGATCGACAGCACCGAGATGCACTGACACCTACAGTGGAGACCCACAGGGACAGTACTCGAAGAAGAACTGGTATACCAAGAAAGAACATAATTCTGCAGTGAAAACCTGCGCCCATGCGGAGCTCATTGCGGGATGTGAGCCATAGTGTCAGTTCCACCCCCCAAGAACTGTGGACAGTCATTGTGCCTTTCTGAATTTGCAGTCACTAACAATGCATCCAGAAGAACAATGGCAGCAGATCATCCAGGTAATTCTTGGAGTCCAAAACTAATGACAGGATAAGGAACGGAGATGTGATGTTGCACCCCGTAAGACTTTATGGAAATATGCTTATGAATGTATATATGACGTAACTGGAATATGTTTTATGCTACATATGCCATGTAACATATCTATGTAAAGGTTACAATCTATTGAATATATTCATCCTATTTGTATGTGTGTGTCGTGGTATTCAAAGTTATGAATACTGGCTGTATACTTGTTTGATTTTAAATAGCCTTAGTAAGGCATTTGGTCAGCTTCTTTAGAAAGGAATTTGTAAGTTAAGTGCCCAGTCAAGAAGTACTTAACGGACAATGGATCTTGAAAGGCTCAAATCCACGTAAGAAGTCTACATGAGGACATTCAAGGTAGCATGTGAACCATGGCTGCTACCTGTAAGTTCTGAGTCATGCAGGGGCATGTGACTTGCACATGTGACTCCAAAACTCCATCTTGTAGCTGGAATTCTACACAGGGGGAGGGAGGGGTATCCACCCACAAGAGAAAGTCTATTTAAATCCCTGGGAGACCCCTCCATTCTGTCTTCAGCTGGTTCAAGAGATAGCCTCTCCACCCCCAAGGATATCTGAGAGAAACTGGAACAAAAGACAGTAACTACAGGGGGTGAGAGTGATTGCTGGACCCAGACTAGAAGGAGACAGGTCTGTAAAAGGAAGCTTACTGGAACACCTCTGAGGGTGAGGCTATATCTGTATTCAGTTTTCTTACTGTATTAGGCATAGACTTGCGTGTTTTATTTTATTTTGCTTGGTAATTCACTTTGTTCTATCTGTTACTACTTGGAACCACTTAAATTCTACTTTCTGTATTTAATAAAATCACTTTTTACTTATTATTTAACCCAGAGGGTGGGGAGGGGTGGCAAATAGCTGTGCATATCTCTCTATCAGTGTTATAGAGGGCAAACAATTTATGAGTTTACCCCGTATAAGCTTTATACGGGGTAAAACGGATTTATTTGGGGTTTGGACCTCATTGAGAGTTGGGCATCTGAATGTTAAAGACAAGACCGCTTCTTAAGTTGCTTTCAGTTAAGCTTGCAGTTTGTGGGATGTGGTTCAGACCTGGGTCTGTGTTTGTGGCCAGTAAGCGTGTCTGGCACATCCAGGCTAGGGGTTCTGGAGTCCCAAGCTGGCAGGGAAAGCAGGGGCAGAAGTAGCCTTGGCACATCAGTTGGCAGCCCCAAGGTGGTTTCTGTGATCCAACCCTTCACAGCAGACACTTGCATTCTTTCATTTCCATCCCAGGTATTCTAGATCTGGCAATCATAATGCTATGGATGTGTCTCTGAATCATGAATTAATACAGAATTCTAAGTGAAACTTCATAGATACTAAGGTCAGAAGGGACCATTATGATCATCTAGTCTGACCTCCTGCACAATGCAGGAATCTCACCCACCCACTCCTGCGAAAAACTTCACCTATGTCTGAGCTATTGAAGTCCTCAAATCGTGGTTTAAAGACTTCAAGATGCAGAGAATCCTCCAGCAAGTGACCCGTGCCCCATGCTACAGAGGAAGGCGAAAAACCTCCAGGGCCTCTTCCAATCTGCCCTGGAGGAAAAATCCTTCCTGACCCCAAATATGGAGATCAGCTAAACCCTGAGCATATGGGCAAGATTCATCAGCCAGATACTACAGAAAACTCTTTCCTGGGTAACTCAGATCCCACCCCATCTAACATCCCATCACAGGCCATTATGCCTATTTACCATGAATATTTAAAGATCAATTAATTACCAAAATCATGTTATCCCATCATACCATCTCCTCCATAAACTTATTGAGTTCAATCTTAAAGCCAGACAGATCTTGTGCCCCCACTGCTTCCCTTGCAAGGCTATTCCAAAACTTCACTGATAGTTAGAAATATAACTTTTGGTAGTAAACTGTATTTCTACCCTCTGAAAACAGTTTCACACATTGGCACGTCACTTGGAGTCAGATGTTGTTCTGTGCAACTTGCTCAAAAAGTGTTGCTTTTATAGACTCAGCTGTTAATTCACGCTTCTCCACTGAAGAAGAAAAACCAAACAGCTTCTGAAAGACTTGTCTTGCCAGCTTCCTGAAGCTACCATGAATACCATGAAGCTATATAATAAATGATTTACCCTGTGAAACCACGAAACTAAGGATTTCTTCAGAATATTGGGAGATAGTGTGGATTGTACTGTGGATTGTACTGTGCCACATACTAGTATTTTCATGTTCCCTCCATTTCCCACACTCTGTAGCTTATATTATGCTAACCAAGAAAACCAGGAGACACTGAAATCTATCACTTGCTAACACAATGTGGTTATTGATGCATAAACCATCAGTGTAATGTAACCTACTCTAGACCCTTGTATCGGTGGCTGCACCACAGACAGAGGTTGATGAGCCTCCACTGTTTGAGTTAAAAGACCCAGATCTGTCAGCCAAGGCTGTATGCATTCCTATTTAAAAGCACAAATTTAACTAAAAGCTCTATTATATCAAATGATTTAGGCCTTGTCTGACTTCCATACAATGTCTCTCAACTGCCAGAACTGAGATACCTTCTACATTGACTGTACCACTCAGCCTTTTAATATCCGTTAGTGGCACCCTAAAATTAAATCTATCACGCACCTGCATTATTTTCTGTAGGTTGACTTCATAACCTACTTGATAAGAAGAGCCACTACTTAATATCTGACTCTTGTCATTACATTGGTTACATTCAAGTCACATTTGCAAGCTTTTCTTTGTAACCTTGAGTACTGGAAACTTGCATTCTTTAAAAAAAAAAAAGTGAGATTCAGATATAATTGCATGACTCCAAGAGCTGAGGGGCTCTATGCACGGTCCTAGATTACCTATGCCTTCATCCAGCTTTGAGAATACCCCCTGGTGCCTGCCTGCAACAGGAGATTCCTTTTAAAACTAGAGGCAAACTAGATACAAAAGTTACTAAAATTATTAAACCAAAAAAAGATTATAAAACACTGAATCCTGCAAAGACAAGCATCTCTAAAGAACGATAGTAAAACCTGCTGAGAGCGACCACTCATGGAAGTTAGCAAAAGTGGTCTTTTGTAAGAAGTGGTCTCTCTTCAAAAGTTTGTACACTGGAGAGCGGTGACGTTCCATGGCCTTTCCAAGAAGTTGCTCATGACAGGTGGTCTCTAAGGCAGGTTTTACTGTAGTTAAGGTAAAGTTAAATGGTTCAACATACCTTCAGATGAGCATTCTCTATTTGAAGCTGGCCAATGCCAGTGGTAAGGTTTTTTTGCATCTCTAACTGCAAGTTCAGCCGCAGGATTTCCTCATTTTTATTGATTAAGTTCTCTTTAAACTGTTCTAGTTGCTCTAACAAACTCAGGATCTAAAACACAGAAAAACATTGTTTTGATAGGCGCCTTTATTTAAACAAAAATTGGTTACATTGGTTCTTCACATTACTTTATGGAGAATAAATAACTACAGCCAATTCCATTGCTACAAAATTGTCTAAATAGAACACACGTAAATATAGTATTAGAGACAAAAGGGAGAGGAAGAATCCAGTGTCCTAACATCCAGACTAGGATTAAACTTCCAAATTCTAATATCAGTTTGGAAACTAGCACAGTCATCGTGTGTAAGTCACTTAACCCTTGACTTCACCTTTCCATCTGTAAAATGAGGATTCTTCTACTACATAAAAAGAAAAGGAGTACTTGTGGCACCTTAGAGACTAACCAATTTATTTGAGCATGAGCTTTCGTGAGCTACAGCTCACTTCATCGGATGCATACCGTGGAAAGGCAGTTTCCACGGTATGCATCTGATGAAGTGAGCTGTAGCTCACGAAAGCTCATGCTCAAATAAATTGGTTAGTCTCTAAGGTGCCACAAGTACTCCTTTTCTTTTTGCGAATACAGACTAACACGGCTGTTCCTCTTCTACTACATACTTATCCATCATTCAAGAGCCTACAAACTTGGCAAGGATCAACACTGAGCTCAGAAGCACTCTATGACCTGTGCCTGTTGAGCTTCTAAACTTTGTAACTGTCTTTAAAGATGTCTGTATGCTCTAGGAATGACTTTGGGGACATTCTATGGCCTGTGTTATACAGAAGGTCAGACTAGACAATGACAATGGTCCATTCTGGTCTCGGAATCTATGAGGATGTCAAAAGCAACACACTAGTTGGGCCTGTTGGGGGGCATGGAGTGAACACGAACCAAGACTTGGTTTGGTCTACGGGGAGGAGTGGCACTGTGAAATTGGGAGATAGTGGGCCATCAGCATATAACATGAAGCAGAACTCTCATTCATTTTCAAAGTATTACCATTCCAAACTGTCTATATAGACCAAGTTTTCCTGTATGAAGTGTGCTTACATATGAAATTTTCCTATCGAAATCCTCAAGTAAGAATTTAAACAACCAAAGAGTGCTTTGGTAGCTACACATTTTAAAGACAATGCCATGATAAAACATTTTAGATATGAAACCAAGAAGGAATGACACATCCTAATAGGTTTGTTTGTGAAAAATTAGCTTATGCATGGGATTTTAAGCATATTGAAACATGAAAAATTTGAAGAAGTGAGCCATTTTCAAGTTAGAGACCCAAAAACCTTAGAAACCTTTTAAGATGGTTATTTTAAAAGTGCTATAATTGGTGTCTGGCACATTGGACAGGCAATTTTTTTGTACTGTAAAGCAAAATGCATTCATTTTGTGATAAGAATAGCTTATATAATAATAATAAAGCCTGTTTCTTATGTAGTGGTTTTCCTCAGCAGATTTCAAAGCACTCCACAATTTTTTAATTTATTTATCCTCAGCACCTATGCCCAGTAGGGAAACATTATCAGCCCATTTTTAAAGATGGGGAACTGAGGCACAGAGAGGCTCAGTGACTTATCACCAGAGTTATGCTACTCTGGCTTCCAAGCATAGTATTGGGCATTTTCTGCAATGAATTGTGGAACTGAGAAACTGCCGGGAGAGACCTGAATAGAGGTTCAATGCCTGAGTAGCCCTGTCCAAAAGTGCTTGCCTTCCAAATTAGGCAATATACAGCCAAACGAAAGTTGGGGGGAGGAAGGAGAGAGTAAAATGTGATCACCAAAAAGGAGGCATAATTTAGATTGTTGAGGTTAGGCCTAATTCTTGGTCCAGTGGTCATTAATGATAATCAAGGTCAGGAACATACAGAAACAGTAAAAGAACAAAAATGGAGATACGCCCAGTGAGGTACAGTTGATGTAAGAATTATGAATTTCCTGATTTTTAATGGATTAAATTCTCAGACATAATTTTACATAAAAAGTTTTTTTTATTCTCAGATTCTAGATATATCAACTGAAATGTTAGTTTCAGATTTACCTCTCTCTCTTTCATTAGGAGTGCCTCCTGCTCTGCCTGTAACTGTTCCTTTAGCCCATGATCAGAACTGCCTTCAGTAGGTACTCTGTGCCTGGCTTCATCCAATTTAGACTGCAAGGCAGAGATCTGGATCAAATTATTGTACTGCTGCTGTTGCAATGCCTCTTTATCCTGCAAAACATGGATTTTAGTGTTAAGAACAATTATTATACATACATATTTAGAGAGAACAATCCTGTCAAAAATACTTTATCTTCTAAAAACACTACAGTGAACAAGCACATAACCAAACAGATCTTTAAAAACATATAAATTAAAAAGTGGTGTCTAGATATACATCCAAAAATGTAACTAAGTAAATTTAAAAGCCAACCTGAGTCTGTTTTGAAAATTTTGCCCTCAGTGGTTTATAGATTCCAAGGCCAGAAGCAACCATTGTGCATATCTAGTCTCACTTCCTGTGCAACACAGGCCATAGAAATTCCCCAAATTAATTCCTAGGATATCTTTAAGGGAATCATCCAATCTTGTTTTAAAAATGGTTAGTGATAGAAAATCCACCACGACCCTGGGTAAATTGTTCTAACTGTTAATTATTCTTACCATTAAAAAATTATACCTTATTTCCAGTCTGAATTTGTCTAGTTTCCAGCCACTGGATCATGGACTTTTCTCTGCTAGACTGAAAAGTCCATTATTAAATATTTGTTCCTCATGTAGATACTTATCAGTGATAATTACATCATTCCTTAATCTTTTCTTTGTTGAGTTAAATAGATTGAACTCTAAGTCAATCATAATCTTTTCTCATCTTTTAATCATTCTTGTGCCTCTTCTCTAAACACTCTCCAACTTGTCAACATCCTTCTTGAATTGTGGACACTAGAACTGGACACAGTATTCCAGCAGCAGTCAACCAGTGCCACAGTGCTAAATACTCAAGTAAAATAAACTCCCTGCTCCTTCTCAAGATTCCCTTCTTAATGGATCCCAGGATTGCATTAGCTCTTTTGGTCACAGTCTCCTATCAGGAGCTCACGTTCTGTTGATTATCCACCACAATCCCCCAATCTTTTTCAGTCACTGCTTCCCAGGTTAGAGTCCAATATTCTAAGTATGGCCTACATTCTTTGTTCCTAGATGTACATATTTACATTTAGTTGTATTAAAACACAGTGTGTGCTGCCACCCAGTTTACCTAGCTATACAGATGGTTCTGAAACAGTCACCTGTCCTCTTCATCACTCCCCCAATGTGTGTGTCATTTGCAAACTTTATCAATGATGATTTTATGCTTTATTACAGGTCACTGATAAAAATATTAAATAGAGTAGGGCCAAGAAGTGATCCATGTGAGACCCCACTGGAAACAAACCCGCTTCAGGATGATTCCCTGTTTAAAATTACATTTTGAGACCTATTATTTATCCAGTTTTTAATCCATTTAATGGGTGCCAGGTTAATTTTAATATCATTCTAGTTTTTTCATCAAAATGTTGTGTGGTACCAGGTCAAATGTCTTATAGAAGTCTAAGTATATAACATCATCACTATTACCTTTATCTACCAAACTTGTAATCTCATAAAAAAACAACAAATTAGTTTGACAGGGTCTATTTCCCATAAACCCATGTTGATTTACATTAATTACATTAACCGCCTTTATTTAGTTATTGAGTTCCTTATCCATTATCTTGCCCAGGATGGATGTCAGGTTGACAGGTCTATAATTACCCATTTATCCTTTTTTAAAATTGGTACAACATTAGCTTTCTTCCAGTCTTAGGCAACTTCCCCAATGTGCCAAGACTGATTGAAAATCAACATTACAGTGAGCTCCTCAGCCAGCTCATTTAAAACTCTTATAAGTTATCTGGACCTGCTGATTTAAATATGTTTCAATACCTTCTACAGTACTAGACAACTCAATTTTTGACTACCCTAAAAGATGTTATTCTTTTAGCCACAGTTGCGTCTGTGCTCCACTACTCCATTTATTGTGGGTAGCACTTTTATTTTCAGAGATGAAGTGGCTTTAAGAAACGGAGGTTATTTTTCCAGGTATAGCTGACTTTGAAAGTTTAAATGAGCCTATGGGAGAACAACGTAAATTGTAATGTCAATAAATCTTAAGTTAGTAGCTGAAATGACAACACAACAAACCCCTTTTAACAAAGTATTAGATTGTTTTTGCTATATCAGTCAGGTTTACAAGCTACAGTAGACTTTTTCTGGACTTGTTTTTTTTCTTGGAGTTTTCCTTTTAGCCTTTATCCAGTTCTCTCTCTCAATTATTCTTCTCAGGCAAAGGTATTTTCATTAGGGATTACAGGTTCCAGAACTACCATCAGATACCATTTATATTCAATATATGTTACAAGGGAAACTAAAAAGGAGACTTCAGATGGAGGCACTCTGTCTTCGGCTGAGCAAGCCCATTCCCTCTCTTACAGATCTAGTGTACCAGTGCCTCGATACATGTAGTTCTAACAAAGGAGCGACATTAACGTCTTTATATAATTTGATAAAAACTATAATAATGAAAGTAACATTATGAGGCTGTCTTTCCTCATTCTGAAAAGCTTCAAGAACCAGAGGAAACTGAAGAAAATTATTCAGATCCTACCAAGGAACAAGTCCACACAAAATCATAGAATCATAGAATATCAGGGTTGGAAGGGACCTCAGGAGGTCATCTAGTCCAACCCCCTGCTCAAAGCAGGACCAATCCCCAATTAAATCATCCCAGCCAGGGCTTTGTCAAGCCTGACCTTAAAAACTTCTAAGGAAGGGAGATTCTACCACCTCCCTAGGTAACGCATTCCAGTGTTTCACCACCCTCCTTGTGAAGAAGTTTTTCCTAATATCCAACCTAAACCTCCCCCACTGCAACTTGAGACCATTACTCCTTGTCCTGTCCTCTTCTACCACTGAGAATAGTCTAGAACCATCCTCTCTGGAACCACCTCTCAGGTAGTTGAAAGCAGCTATCAAATCCCCTCTCATTCTTCTCTTCTGCAGACTAAACAATCCCAGTTCCCTCAGCCTCTCCTCATAACTCATGTGTTCCAGACCCCTAATTATTTTTGTTGCCCTTCGCTGGACTCTCTCCAATTTATCCACATCCTTCTTGAAGTGTGGGGCCCAAAACTGGACACAGTACTCCAGATGAGGCCTCACCAATGTCAAATAGAGGGGGACGATCACGTCCCTTGATCTGCTCGCTATGCCCCTACTTATACATCCCAAAATGCCATTGGCCTTCTTGGCAACAGAGTGGTCAGCCTCACCTCAGTCCCTGGAAAAATCATGAAACAGGTCCTCAAGGAAACCATTTTGAAACACTTGGAGGAGAGGAAGGTGATCAGGAACAGTCAACATGGATTTACTAAGGGCAAGTCATGCCTGACCAACCTGATTGCCTTCTATGATGAGAAAATTGGCTCTGTGGATATGAGGAAAGCAGTGGACGGGATATAGCTTGACTTTAGCAAAGCTTTTGATATGGTCTCCCACAGTATTCTTGCCAGCAAGTTAAAAAATTATGGATTGGACAAATGGACTATAAGGTGGATAGAAAGCTGGCCAGATTGTCGGACTCAATGGGTAGTGGTCAACGGCTTGATGTCTAGTTGGCAGCCAGTACTAAGCGGAGTGCCCCAGAGGTCGGTACTGGGGCCCATTTTGTTCAACATTTTTATTAATGACCTGGGGGATGGGATGGATTCCACCGTCAGCAAGTTTGCAGATGACACAAAGCTGGGGGAAGAGCTAGATACGCTGGAGGGTTGGGATAGGGTCCAGAGTGATCTAGACAAATTGGAGGATTGGGCCAAAAGAAAGCTCATGAGGTTCAACACGGACAAGTGCAGAGTCCTGCACTTACGACGGAAGAATCCCATGCACTGCTACAGGCTGGGGACCGACTGATTAAGCAGCAGTTCTGCAGAAAAAGACCTGGGGATTACAGTGGATGAAAAGCTGGATATGAGTCAGCAGTGTTCCCTTGTTGCCAAGAAGGCTAATGGCATATTGGGCTGCATTATCAGGAGCGTTGCCAGCAGATCGAGGGAAGTGATTATTCCCCTCTATTTGGCACTGGTGAAGCCGCACCTGGAGCATTCTGTTGAGTTTGGGCCCCCCCCTACAGAAAGGATGTAGACAAATTGGAGAGAATCCAGCAGAGGGCAACGAAAACGATCAGGGGGCTGGGGCACAAGACTTATGAGGAGAGGCTGAGGGAACTGGGGTTATTTAGTCTGCAGAAGAGTGAGGGGGGATTTGATAGCAGCCTTCAACTACCTGAAGGGGGGTTCTAAAGAGGATGGAGCTCGGCTGTTCTCAGTGGTGGCAGATGACAGAACAAGGCGCAGTGGTCTCAAGTTGCAGTGTGGGAGGTCTAGGTTGGATATGAGGAAACACTATTTCACTAGGAGGGTGGTGAAGCACTGGAATGGATTACCTAGGAAGGTGGTGGAATCTCCATCCTTAGAGGTTTTTAAGGTTTTTGTCTGGCTTGACAAACCCTGGCTGGGATGATTTAGTTGGGGTTGGTCCTGCTTTGAGCAGAGGGTTGGACTGGATGACCTCCTGAGCTCTTTTCCAACCCTAATCGTCTATGACTCTATGAAAGATATCAAGTGTGGAAGGTGTTTAGCTTTCTTTCCTGACAGCTGCAGGTGGTCCAGGTGTCACCACCATACTTGAAATGCATGTCTGGTAGACCCATTTAATGTCCTGTTATGTGCTAGGTCAGTTGGCTGGACGTGGTGGCTTCTACTGATGATCTACAAAATGGAACATGATGGTCAGCTCACAATCTCTCCGAGCTGTGGCTGGCTCTGAAGAGCTAACAGTAGCAAAAGCAGTAAAATCTCTGGGTCTAAAGTAAGTAGACATGGCTCTGAATACACATTGCAAAAAGAGCTGTTGACTTCAGTAATACTAATTTTACATAGCATTTTTCAAAGTAAAACCACATGAGATCTGCTGAGGAACAGGCTGTATACGAATTAGGCATTACGATGTAGTATTTAGTAGCACCTTCTCTAGCACCTGTAGGAACAAAAGGAGAACATACTACCCAATACATTTCTTGTGACTGCCAAAAATGTTCATTGCAAATAGTGGTTTTTTTCAGTTCTCAAAGCAAAAATTTGTTTCAAATTACCACTGTAATACTTGCCATTGGTACAAGACAGTAAGTGACATCTGATGGAAGAGACAAGGTGGGTGAGGTAAATATCTTTTATTGGACCTATTTCTGTTGGTGAAACAGACAAGCATTCAAGCTACACAGAGCTGTTCTTCAGGTCTGATGGAAGAACAGACACCGGAAATCTATATCCATTTCTCCCTGGCAAAGTAAGGCCAGGGCCTGGCATAACTTGACTAGTTAAAAATCCCATATGGAATTGTCAGCTATAATCCCTAAATTACCCTCCACTAGTACATCCCACTTAAAAAAAATCTTTAAAAGTATTACTTGTGTTAGTTCAGTTTCCCTTTTCTTCATTTTTTGCAGTTCTTGTTCCAAACGGCTGACAGTCTTTGAGGCCTCAGTATTGGTGTGCTCCAGCTCTCTAATCTGCGCTGTTTGCTCCTCTATTTCTTTATCTCGAACTGTAACTTCCCGGTATTTCTGCTCCTTTTCTAACAACAGTTTATTGAAATCATCTGTTTTGTCTTTTATTTCTGCTTGCAAAGACTCTATCTACACAACAAGACAAATATATTACATAGATGCAACAAACAAACAAAGACATATTAAATATTTCTACAGAAAGGAAATATTCACTTTGTGGCTAATCCTAAAAATACATTATTATTGGCAGCCCCAGAATTTCATATGAGTCAGCATTAGTTATCAGATACCAACCGAAAGCAAAACTAAAATAAAAAAGGTAAAATGAACCAGCTGTAAATCTTGCTCTCTGAAGATGGTACCTTTTAAAAAGCCATAAATATATTAGCTTACTATTTACGCAATCTAGAAAAACAGCAGCGCATTAATATAACAAAAGGCCCTGAAAATGGAAGTACTATGGATCTGTTAAGAATAAAAAACAAATTATTAGGTTTCACTCTGAATTGTATATGGGCCCAACTAGGATTATTTAGTTTTTGCATATCTCCTTTGTGTTCCATAAGCTATTACTCAAGGATCAATCATAACATAAACCTGTTTTAATCTTACAGAAAAGCTTTTGAATAACATTTGCAAAAAATAGCAACACTTTCTCTAAGGCTGATTATGTTACAAAAATTTGGTCAAAATGATTTGGTTAATTCATCAATGCACAAGAGTTTAGGACAGAGGTCCCTAAGCTGTGGGGTGCGCCCCTGTATGGGGGCGCAGAAGAACATTCAGAGGGCGCGGTTTGGGCGCAGCACAGCCCCCACGGGGTTTGGAGAGGGAGCACCACCCAGCTCTGCTCCTAGCCCTGGCCCCGCCCCCAGCTGTGGCCCCGGCCTCGGCCCTCTTACCCCAGTCTGTGTCGTCCCGTCCCCACCCTGAAGCCACAGCCCCAGCGGGGACGTGGATGGGGAAAAAGGGGAACAAGAGGTAAAAAGTTTGGGGACCCCTAGGTTAGGAGACCTCTTTTTCTGAGGCACATCGTTCTTAAACTATAAATTTCTTTTTAAATGCTATGTTCCAATAGCTCCATTGTTATGATGCTGGCAATAAGGGAACAAACACTTCCACAACCTTCACTCTAATCCCAAACCCTGAGATGGTGGTTCTGATCACCACCTGGCATTTCTTTTTTTCACAAAATAGCCCTATTAGATATTCCCCTATTTTAGAGGGTGAGAAAGTGGGCAAGTGTGGATCTGTTACAGTGATTATGTTCACAGAACAAGAACTTCAGGCCATTGTACTGTAGCGGAATTGTCTCAGCCAATCACAGTGCATATGTGCTATATATTCACTGACCTGCAGCCACACGTTTACTTCCAAGTAATTGCATAGCAACTATCTAGTTCCTTGCACTTTGATATGGTACTGACCACAAAACTCACTTCAGATTAACCACATATATTGCCAGCTTAATTTCTCACCCTCTCTCATACCTTTTGCATTCAATCCTGATGCTCTTCCTTAGGAAGTCAGAAGTAATCCACTACACAATGAACATTTTTTTAATTAGGTTGCAAATGTTCAGAACAGCAAATATAAGCTAATTTTTAAACGTATCATTCTTTCCTCATCTCTACATGTGCTGTTTTATTAGTGAGTAAAAGGCTGTTCAAAAACTTAATCTAACGTCTTTGACAGTAAACAAGGACATTTTCAAGCTGCTACTAGAATGCTTGTCATTTTGAACACATCCCAGATTCATTTCTTTTTATGATTTCCTTTTATGATCTTATGATTACTCAAGACTTATGTTTCTGGTCTGGCTTCTACTTGTTTTTGAAGGGGGGATACCCAACCCACACAAAATCAGCTTAAACTAAACAAGTTATTTGATCTACAAACTTTAAACAAATATATGATTTAAGCTTCCTTGGACTGGTCACCTTAAACTTTCCTCTACCCTTTGCTGAAATATGTTTATAAAACAGTCTATATACCTGTTGACAAGATTTTCTAAATATATCAACATATCAGCATTCTGTCTTGAACACTATTCACAGGTAAAGGGAGAATGAAACAGCTAGAACTCCTAAGGGTATGTCTATACTACCCGACGGATCAGTGGCCAGCAATCAGTCCAGCGGGGGTTGATTTATCGCATCTAAATCAACCCCCGAGCGCTCTCCCATTGTCTCCTGTACTCCACTGGAGCAAGAGGCACAGGCGGAGTTGACAGGGGAGCGTCAGCAGTAGATCTAAGTATGTCGATTTCAGCTACGTGGCTGAAGCTACATAACTTAGGTTGCACCACAACCCCCCGCCATTGTAGACCAGGCCTAAGATGATAAACAGGAAATAGAGCTACATTAAACTTTGGGACCTTATACAACGACACTGACATATGATTTGTCTGGAAAACTCCACTGTCCTGAGAGTTTAATTCTTTATAATGGGTTTATTCTTCTACCATATGACATTTAAAGGTTTAGAATTCTACAGACTTGATACAGATGAAGAGTTAGAAATAAAGTTAGTAACATGTAACAACCATATAAACACAAAATATGTGAAAAGTGATGTCACAAATAGAACTGGATAGCTGAAGCATAGGGAAAATGATTCCATGCTACTTATTTCCCAAAAGTTTACATTTTCTTTTAACAGTATGCATTAGAACAAAAAATTGTTTTACAAGAGCAATTACATGAGGATGCATTTGATCAATAAAGCCAGAAAAGTGAAGTAGTTAGAAATAGAAAGTTAAATACAAAGCATTTTTTCCAAAGTAAGAGTTCAACAAAACTAAACATGAACCCCTACATGTAAATCAGTCTGAAGCAGATTTTACATTTGAGGAAGGCAAACAAGCAAAGCAGATCTGGATAAGGAGAAGAAATTGAGGGGGAAGGGAGAACAGGCATGGGGATGCTCATGCTATTTTTCCATACCTGGAGAGTCAATTCAAAGATCTGTAATGTTCATTTATGTGAGAGAAAAAAAACAAAACAAAAATTAAACTTTTAAATTGAATATTAAACTAACAAGCATCTGGAAAAAAAAAAAAAAGGCCAGATGCCATAATTTTTAGTGTCAGTATTTTGCTCTCTCTAAATCAAATCAACCTGATATGTTGGAAACACTTTACTGTAATACACACATTCAAACATACCATTTCCTGCAATCTCGCTAACAAAACCAAAATTAAGACATGCGCCACCACTCATGCCACCAAAATTGTACTTCAGCCAGTTTTAAGAAAAAGTTGATTAATTCAGTACTCTGAATTTTCTAAAATACTTGAGTAAATGATTAATACAAAGTGAGATATTCAGCAAACAAAGCAACAACAGATTGCCAAAAGTGGATTTACATTTGGATATTTAGTAAATAAATATAATAAACTAAAACATACACAGTCACTACCTGTGGTTTTACCTACCCCATATTGTCTGGGCTCTCCAGAAGTCTGGGATTTTCCTGACAATTTTAACTGATCTTCTAGTTTCTGAATTTCTTGCTGAAACTCATCACGTTCATGTTCTCGCTCTATAGCTTGTTCCTGTAAGATGAAAAGAATTGTTTTTCATTTTTGCTATGAGGAAGCTGATGTTTGCATTTTCCTTTTTTCCTGCATTTGCTTGGCAGTTCTAGAAGCCAGGTAAGAATTTACAGAGACAATAGGAGATTATTATTTCAATTTACAAAACAAATGAACAGCAGAAACATGGAAAGAAAAAGCTACTCTCCAGACTCTTATTGATCAGGAAATTTTTAAAAACAAACATCCATCCTTGGTTTTTACAAAGAGAAACACAAAGGTCTTATTTTTGATAAAACCAAAACTATCCTGGAAGAGACTGATCACAAAATAGGAGGAAGTGTTTTTCCTCTCCAAAGCTGCAGAAATTGGGTGTTGAGCTTGCTTACATCCATGAACTGTCGTTGACTTCTAAGCTGTTTTTCAAGGACTTGAATTTGCTGCCTTAAATCAGTAACCTCCAATGACTTCTTTGCCAACTTCTGATTTTGATCCATCTGTTCTTCAAGTTCCACTTCCAAAACCTTCATCTGAGAACGCAAGCTGGAATGGTCTTTCTCTGCCTGGCACTGCAGTTCTAACTTCTCTTTTGCTAAAAATTCTACTTCCTTTAGTAAACCTAAACACACACAATAGTAAGAAAGTCAGTCAGTCAGTCCAGAAATATGCAAATCAAATGTTGTTTAAAATTATATTTTATGCATATAATACACACACACACACACAGAGCTACAACACGTCAGTACCAAAGGGGAAATTTTCAAATACATAAAAAGAGGCACCCAACTATCCTACTGTGTCTTTGAAAATCTTCCCCACAGACAACAAAATAATTACATATGCAATATCAGCAATGTCCAGTGGAAATAAGTCACAGTTCATGATTACTTGATTAACCAAGACCAATCTATGGCTACAAATTGAGCTTTCAACGAACAGGATATGCTGTTTGGAGGATCCAAACATAAAGGCTTTTTGGAAAACATCAAATTAAATTCTAACACTTATCAGTTGTAAGTAACCTGAACACAAAGATGAGAATCAAGAGGTCTAACTTTTAAATGTATTATACTTAAAAGGAGGGTGGTGAAAGAACTATTATTCTGCCTTTCAAATGTGCAATTTGTATCTTCATTATTTGCCAAGAAAGCTTTTCCTTACTGACAGGTTTCAGAGAAGCAGCAATGTTAGTCTGTATTCACAAAAAGAAAAGGAGTACTAGTGGCACCTTAGAGACTAACCAATTTATTTGAGCACAAGCTTTCGTGAGCTACTGCTCACTTCATCGGATGCATTTTCCACTGAATGCATCCGATGAAGTGAGCTGTAGCTCACGAAAGCTTGTGCTCAAATAAATTGGTTAGTCTCTTAAGGTGCCACTAGTACTCCTTTTCTTTTCCTTACTGTAGCAAAGAGGTGTGGCCTCCCTCCGAGATTGGCAGCGATACCAGGTGGGCGGAACCAGGAAGTCGACGCCATCATGCCAGAAACAGAGGGGCAGGTCAGGAACAGGAAGCATAAAAGGTGGGCCCTGTAGCTCAGTTGAAGAGGAGCCGCCGAGGGAGGCACACGCTTCCAGCTCAGCTCACTGCTGGAACTGGAGCCTGCAGAAGACTTCTGCTGCCCTGAAGACACTTCCCAGGGGCCAGGTTTGCCAGACATGCCTGATGCTAAGGAGCTGCTGGGATTGTCACTGGCAGTATACCCTGAGGAGACTGAGGACAACTCTGGGGTTCAGGTACATGTGAGGGGGAGTATAGGAAGCAGCCAGGGGAACCAGACGACCATCTGGCTGTGGGGCCACCAGAGAGACAGTCAGAGTGTTGCAGGTGGATTCCCCGCTGACCCAGTGGCAGACCATTCTGCCGCTGTTAGGGCCTGGGACACTGTGGAGTTGGGAGGGCCCGCATCCCCCGCTACCACCCCACCCTTGGGGTGGCAGTACTCCCCCTCCTTAGACCAAGAGGCCTGCGTTTGTTTGTCGCCCACCAGACCCAGGACGACAGACTAAGGGGCATTCACCCCTGACAGAGCCCCTAGACTGTTTGCTGGGTGCTTAACCCATGCTGGTGCCCCGGACGGTCTGCTGGGTGCTTAATCCCTGGCCTGGGCCCCATAGACTGTAGGTGGTGCTCGCCCTTGCCCGAGGGGGCCAGAGCACTAGATTGCAAGGCGCCCCGACCTGCCTAAAGGCCTGGGCCCCTGAACTGTCCCTAACTACAGTATCCCGCTTGAGGGCTGGAACTCTAGACTGCTTGGGGGCCTGCCTTGTCTACGGGCTTGGGACCCCAGAATCATTCGCTCTCTCCCAACTGAGGGTTGAGCCCGCGAGACTGCTGACTTTCCTGCTTTGATAGACTACTACTCCAGGGGGGTGACAGCAAAGAGGTGTGGCCTCCCTCAGAGATTGACAGTGAAGGAGGGCCACACACCCCTACAATTACCAACATCTAGAAATTCACTGAGGCAAGAGGATTCAGTAGATAGTGCTGTGTCAACCTTTTAACTGTTTTCAGGTTTGTAAGTGCCCACAATAGAGTTTTGAAATAGATTTAAATGAAAAACAGACAAATTTCAGTCCCCAAATATCAGATTCATACTTCTCAAGGAAGAGTTTGAAAAAATGGTGAACACAGCAATTTTATCCCCACCAAATTGTGAGTAACAATGGAGAATGAACTATATATTTTAACTGATGATTAGCGGAGTCTTTTTAGCTTCAAAATGAGTTTTACTGCCATCTGTGAAACAAAAAAAAAACTGCTTAAATGAGAATTTGAAATTTAAAAAACTTCTTACCACCTACCTCCTATTCAAAAAAGCCAGTGTCTGTATGGAATCTAATTAGGCCCATAAACTCTATGTAGAATTGGAAATTTGTTGCCAAAACTTAATATCTGATTGTGTATTAATGCAATATCAGTAACTGTACTCTGCTTTGTCGGTCTTATTTTTCTCTCCTTTTGGTGTTACAGAAGAGTCTGATTCTCAAAACATATAGATATATAATTAAGGGTAACACTAAGATTGTCAGGTCACTGATTTGACTCTGAGTAGAGAATCAAATTGATATTGTTTTATCAATACTAGCTCAAGTCATGCAATCCTTCTCGGGTGACTCAAAAATCACATTAGAAAATGCTATGGTAGATTCCATTAGGAAGCTTATTTTTCATATCAACATAATGCAGCTTTGTTGGCTCATCCAAAAATAATAATAAAAAAAATTTACGTTAAATCCAGTATGATTTTTATACAAATACCCGGCACTACAAACAATAATTCCACACAAGAGGAAGAGTACTATTTTAAATGTTAAAAAATTTGATTTGTTCAATTAGAAAAAATAAAAAAGGAAATGTTCTAGCTTCGCACCTGCAGTAATAAGTAATTTTTTAGGCCTTTAACAGTTAACTTCTACAATAGCTGGAGTTTAACTATATGGTAAATTTCAAAACCCAGTCCTGTTACATATCACAGCCAGATTCTCAATCATGCGACAGGATAAGATTTAAGGGCAAGTGCCTAGTAGCCATGTGAGGGTAAGTCTACACTGCGCAAAAAAAAAAAAAAAAAAGGTCCTGCAGGAGAGAGTCTGAGCTCAGCCTCACATGGCTTATGTTATAAACAGCCATGTAAAGGTTCCTGTTCCAGCTGGAGCTCAGGCTCTGAAACCTGGTGAGGGTGGGTTTCAGAGCCCAAGTGGGAACCTCCACATGGCTACTTTTAGCACTGTAGTGCAAGCCCACGCCTGTAGACCCGGCCTCTGAGACGCACTGCTGCAGGGTTTTTTCCTGCAGTGTATACAATCCCATAGTAGCATTTGAGAGAGAGCTAGAAGACATATTTGGGAGCTGGACAAACAAAAGGAATGGAGCTGCAGCAGTTGGAGACAGCTCAGCACTGCTCTCTCCCTATATCCTAGACTGTGATCTGGCCAGATAATCCCACCTCAGTTACCTGAAAAATGCAGTCCCCCAGCTCATGTCCTTCCCGCATAAGCCTAGAGCCGTCCTAGCATGCAAGAGTATCCAAGGACATACATTTTGGGGCTTCTCAGAAGAAAAGCATTGCTCCTGTTTTCCTCCTATCAGAGCCATATGTGTATTATGCACACAACCATGTATAGAGAAAGCGTTATGGCTGCATTTTCAAACTAGCTCAAAATTTCTCATTTGCATATAAAAGCAAAACTTTTGTTTGCATTTATTTTAGCATTAGACTTCAATAGTCATTTAAAACCATTTGTCTCCCTTATTTTTCTGTTCATTCCTTCCTCTGAGAAGCCTGATCTCTTTTTCCCTATTTCCCTTCAGATTCATTTTTCCTTCTCTACCAATTTCCCTTATATTTTCTTTCAAGAGAACTCATCCTTCCCTTTAGTCCATTCTTATCTTTCTCCTCTTCTCCTCCTCCCCATTCCTACTCTCTCTCCATTCTGCTCCCACAATCCTTCTTCCAGTTCCTTCAGTTCTCTTTCATTCACCATCTCTAGATCTCCTGCACTTGGTGTTGCTACATTTTAAAAATATATTTACCCTCTAAGAAACCCAGCGCCACACCATTAGAACCTCATAGCATATTTATAAAACATTTTTGTCTGCACAAAACAACGATTTTTGTTGCTTATAATTGCACTATGGAATTTAAGACGGACATCAGCAGACTGATATCATTTAATAAATATTGATTACGTTTTTTACATAATTCAAGTTTAGTGATTTTTGTTAAATTGTGAAAGTAATGTCTTAAACATGTCCACATTATTAATAATGTGGAAGATATATTACTAATAATTTACTGGGCATAGTTCTGAAGTACTATTCCTCTTTGTTAGATTAAATTCAAAGTCATTAATTAATTCACATAATTTCTCATGAAGCCACACTCTGTTACAAACCTGAATCTTCCTTTTGTGCTACATTAGCAACAGGAACTCCTATGAATAGAAACACGTACAAGACAAAAATAGGACATTTTGATTCATTCCATCTTCCATCTCACTAATGAGTTTAACACAAGATAGGGATAATGCCAGACTTTGTAGCATTCCTAAAGGTAACCTGTCTCAATGTGGAGAAGTAGTTGCTAATCATATATGCTGACCATGCACTACTGTTCTTATATAGCTCATTTTGGGTACAATTTTGCCAGGCACCTGGCCATCTCTTTACTGAGGTCCTGTATCTATTGAATTCTTTCATTTGGCAATTCTTCCCCCAAGCTTCATGTGTTTGTTACTTTTTTTTTTGCTAAGTGCTCAGGGCTCCTTTAACCTCTAAATCAGTCGTACCAAAAATTGTGTAGAGCTAGAGTACTAATTCCATCACTGAAAAGCACTTCAGAGACCCTAAAATAACTGTACAGTGATATCCTGACATTGCATTATTTCCAGTGGGACACATGACCCACAGCCATAACCACCTGGCAACATAAAGATCCCAAAACAACATCCATGTGTCCTGATATGATTACTGTGTCCCCCTTTGTGGACGTTTGAAACTCAGTCATCCTATACATGGCAGAAAATACTGTTTCTCCTTTCTCTCTCTCTCCACCCCCACTAGAAGCACTGGTCGGGGCAAATATTCTGGTGGACCTTATGTTGTAATCAGTCCATTGCTTGCTCAACCTAAGACCAAGACGAACAGTGAGAGCTCAGCAGAGGCCTGCGGAGTCTACAAGTGGAACAAGTTAGTGTCACAGCCACCACAGGTTATTTTCACTACTCAAGACTTAAGATTTTCTTCTGAAGGATATAATTTTCTTTCCTCAGATACCATTTCTGAGATTTTGATACAGTGCCTCCATATCAGCAAATAGAGACAAAACAGCAAGACTTTTGATGGCATCATCCTGTGAGAGGAATGTGGGGTTGCAGGAGCCAGAGAGAAAGGAAGAACCATGGGGACAGGGCAGAGGGAGACAGGAGATGGAGGGGATGGACAGGAGCAGAAGGGGTAGGTGTCAAGAGACAGAGGTTGGAGTGGTGGATAGGAGTAGCATAGGAGGAGAAAGGCAGGAGCCAGAACAAGGGGTTGGATAGGAGCAGAGGGGGGAGGGGGCTGGTGGTAAATAGAAGTAGAAGAGGAGAGGTGCAGAGCCTGAAGGTTCAGGAGGCAGACAGGAGCAGAGAGGAACAGGGCTTTTGAGGGGAGGGTGGATAATTGGGACAGAAGGATCTAAAGCATGCCTGAAATTGAACCCTGTAGTCCTGAGACTCTGCATTCCCCTGCTGTCAGCAAACAGCTGTCTAGAGTCCAGATCATTAAAGCCTCCTCCTAGTTGTCCCTCCTAGATTGCTTGCCCCAGGGTTTTGACTCTCTGAATTCTAGTCTGTAGGGAGTTTACAGCAGATGCCCATTACAATTTATCCTGCATCTTTAATTATTTTAGCCTTATCCAAGATATTTAACTACTTCCTTCATTTTCAGTCCATTTCCTTGGTATTGTAGTGGTGTTCCAGAGCTTGTCTACACTACCGCACGGGGTCGATCTAAGATACGCAACTTCAGCTATGTGAATAGTTTATCTGAAGTCGACATACTTAGATCTACTCACCGCGGTGTCTTCATTGCGGTAAGTGGACAGCTGATGCTCTCCCATAGACTCCGCTTGCGCTCCTCGTTCTATATGAGACGTGATAAATCAACCCACGCTGGATCGATCGCTGCCCGCCGATCCGGTAGGTAGTGTAGACAAGCCCCTAGTGACACAGATCTATTTCTTTCCCTTTCTCTCTTGCCTATGCTCTATCAGTTAACTAACATTTTAGTTAACAGATCTTAATTATCAGTTACATCCCCTTCCATTCAGTATCACATTTAGTTCATCATACTTATTTTTCTATACTCCTTCCATTTGTCACTAGACATTGGAGTACTCCTCATTAACAGCAACATCATCTTATTTCTAAAAACAGAAGTGTCACGTCTGGGTTTCTTTCTTTTTCAAGTTAACTGGAAGTCTCTGCTCTACCCTTTCCTGTCCTGAGTTATTCAATCAACCATTATACAAAAGAAATATCAATAAATGTTATTAAAGCATTTCTTACCAACTTCTATTTCTCCTACGTTGGCAGCCAGAGCTTTCTTTTGACTTATTAGCATATCCCGCTCCTCACAGAGTATTGCCTGTTCCTGGGTTAGCTTCTGAAACTGTTCCTGCAGGCTCTCCAGTTCCAAAACAAGGCGTCGTTCAGACTCTTCTTTCAGGCTCATTGCCTCTTCTAAGGCTGCTTTCTCTACTACATAGCCTTCAATGATACCTAAAATCCAAAGGCAAAAGTGAACTAAAGGAGTAGACACTGAATTTCTTACATAAAGTACTATCAACTATCACCAATAGGAAGGGAAGGTTACTCACTTTGTGCAGTAACAGATTCTTTGAGATGTGTGTCCCTGTGGGTGCTCCACTTTGGGTGTTGGTGCATCCCAGCACAGCTGATCGGAGATTTACAGTAGCAGTGTCCGGGCGGGTCATGCATGCACAGTAGGTGGGTCGCAGTGCACACAACCTGAGCCCTCCAGTTCCTTCTCTACTGCAGAGTCCCTACTGCGAACTCCGAAGTAGAGGGAGGGTAGTGGAGCACCCACAGGAGACACACATCTCGAAGAACCTCAGTTCCTTCACAAGGTGAATAACCTTCCCTTCTTCGAGTGCTGTCCCTGTGGGTGCTCCACTTCAGGTGACTGTACAGTAGTGCCCCTCAGATGGCTGTGGGGACTTCAGGTTCATTTGAGTCATTGAGGTAAGTATTGTGAGGCCCACTATGGCATCAGCCCTGGAGTCATGAGTGATTGCATAGTGTTCAGCAAATGTGTGGATGGAGGCCCAAGTGGCCGCCTTACAAATCTCTAATATTGGAACACTATGTAGAAATGCTATTGAGGTTGAAACAGATCTAGTAGAATGTGCTCTAATGTGTTCCGGTGGTTCTGTATTCCAGACACGATAGCACATTTGAATGCATGTGGAGATCCAGTTAGACAAATCTCTGAGTAGATACTGTGTCTCCTTTTGAGAGCTCAATAGTAGAGACGAAGTCTAGGAGAATTCCGGAAGAGTTTGGTCCTTTCAAGGTAAAACGCTAGCACATGTCTAACAGCTAGTGGGTGCAGGGTGGCCTCTCTTGGATTCCCGTGAGGCTTAGGGTAGAATGCAGGGAGATGGATTGGTTGGTTCAGATGAAATGTAGATGTAACCTTTGGTAGGAATTTTGGGTGCAGACACAGCATGACCTTCTCTTTGAAGAATACTGTGTATGGAGGATCAGCCATGAGCTCACTCACCCTTCTGGCAGAAGTAATAGCGACCAGAAAGGCCACTTTCATGGATAAATGTAGCATGGAACAGATGGCTAATGGTTTGAATGGTGGTCTGGTGAGGCATTTCTGCACCAGACTGAGGTCCCACGTCGGGGTAGGCCGACAAAATTCTGGTTAAACGTTCAGGAGACCCGTGAGGAAGCGTTTAGTAGTTGGGTCCATGAATGTCAAGGTTCCATCCATCTCCTGATGGAACTCTGTAATGGCCGCCAGATGAACTTTGATTGAGCTCATAGTTAAACCTGAACTTTTCAGCTCCAGTAGGTATTCCAGCACTAGTGGTACTGTAGAAGCCGTTAATTGTCTTTCTTGATATCAGGCGGAGAACCTCTTACATTTTTGAAAGTAAGTATTACGCGTGGTCATCTTCCTGCTGTTTAATAACACATGTTTAACTTATTCTGAGTAGGTTAGTTCACCATGATGGAACCATGTAGGAGCCATGCTTGTAAGTGGAGTAGCTCCAGGTTCAGGTGAAGAGTACGACCGTAGTGCTGAGACAGCAGGTCTGGACGAGGACGGAGGTCTTGTGGGGCACATATCGCCATTCGCATCAGATAAGGGTATCATGCTTGTCTGGGCCATGTCGTGACTCTGAGGATAACCTTGGCCCTGTCTGTTCGTATCTCATGTATCATGTTTGATATCAGTGAAATCGGTGGAAATGAATACGAGTCATGCCTCCCATTTGATAAGGAAGGCGTTCCCCAGTAATCAGAGTCCTGCTCATGAACAGAACATTGCGCATTTGCGGTTCGTTGCGGATGCAAACAAGTCGATGATGGGAATTCCCCATCAGTTGAAAATGGATCTCAGAACTTTGCCATTCATCTCCCATGTGTGGTCTTGAGAGAAGAACCCACTGAGTGTGTCCGCTGTCACGTTCTGAGAGCCAGGCAGGTAGCATGCCGAGATGTTTATGTAGTGTTATATGCACCACTTCCATATTTTATGGCTTCAGTGCATAGCGAGTGTGAATGCAGGACAGTACAATCCCATATTTGAAGGATGACTCGTACATCTGAGATAAGGTTTGTGAGAGTTATGAATCTGGCCTGAGGTAGGGAAGTCTTGGCTTCAGCCGGAAGGCATGGGATGCATTGTCCTAGGGATGGGGGTTCCATGACCACCACTCCCAAGAGAAGGAGATGGGTGGTGGTGGTCGGGGACTCCCTCCTAAGGGGGAGGGAGTCATCCATCTGCCGACCAGACATGGAGACTTGAGAAGCATGCTGCTTGCCTGGAGCTAGAATCCAGGACGTGACTGAGTGTTTGCCGAGACTGTTGAAGACCTCAGACCGCTACCTCTTCCTACTTCTCCACGTGGGCACCAATGAAGCTGCCAAGAATGATCTTGAGCGGATCACTGCAGACTACGTGGCTCTAAGAAGAAGGATAAAGGAGTTTGAGGCCCAAGTCGTGTTCTCGTCCATCCTCCCTGTTGAAGGAAAAGGCCCAGGTAGGGACCATCAAATTGTGGAGGTGAATGCGTGGTTATGCAGGTGGTGTCGGAGAGGGGGCTTTGGATTTTTCGACCATGGGATTTTGTTCCGGGAAGAAGGATTGCTAGGAACAGATGGGATCTACCTAATGAAGAGAAGGAACAGCATCTTCGCAGGCAGGCTTGCTAGCCTAGTGAAGAGGGCTTTAAACTAGGTTCACCAGGGGATGGTGACCTAAGCCCAGAGGTAAGTGGGAGAGTGCGATACTGGGAGGAAACACAAGGAGTAGGGTACAAGACGGGAAGCTTCCTTATTCATACTGAGAAAGTAGGGCAATCGGCTAATTTTCTCAGGTGCATGTGCACAAATGCAAGAAGTCTGGGAAACAAGCAGGAAGAATTGGAAGTCCTGGCACAATCAAGGAACTATGACGGGATTGGAAAAACAGAAACTTGGGTTGCAGTTCAAATGACTGGAGTGCTGTCATGGATGGGTATAAACTCTTCAGGAAGGACAGGTACAGGAGAAAAGGTGGAGGAGTTGCATTGTATGTAAGAGAACGGTATGATTGCTCAGAGCTCCAGTTTGAAACTGGAGAAAAGCCTGTTGAGAGTCTTTGGGTTAAGTTTAGAAGCGAGAGCCACAAGGGTGATGGCATGGTGGGCGTGTGCTACAGACCACCACACCAGGAGGATGAGGTAGACGAGGCTTTCTTCAGACAACTAACTGAAGTCTCCAGATAACAGGCCCTGGGGGACTTCATGGGGGACTTCAATCACCCTGACATCTGCTGGGAGAGCAATACAGCAGTGCACAGACAATCCAGGAAGTTTTTGGAGAATGTTGGGGACAATTTCCTGATACAAGTGCTAGAGGAACCAACTAGGGGCCATGCTCCTCTTGACCTGCTGCTTACCAACAGGGAAGAATTGGTAGGGGAGGTAGAAATGGATTGCAACCTAGGCAGGAGTGACCATGAGATGGTTGAGTTCTGGATCCTGAAAAAAGGAAGGGGAATAGCAAAATACGGACCCTGGACTTCAGAAAAGCAGGCTTAAAGTCCCTTAGGGAACTCATGGGCAGGATCCCCTGGGAGGCTAATATGAGGGGGCAAAGAGTCCGGGAGAGCTGGCTGTCTTTTAAAAAAGCCTTACTGAAGGCGCAAGAACAAACGATCCCGAAGTGCAAAAAGAAGCAAATATGGCATGCAACCAGCTTGGCTTAACAGTGAAATCTTCTGTGAAATTAAACACAAAAAGGAAGCTTACAAAAAGTGGAAATTTGGACAGATGACTAGGGAGGAGTCCAAAAATATTGCTGGAGCATGCCGGGGTGTAATTAGGAAGGCCAAGGCACAACTGGAGTTGCAGCTAGCAAGGGATGTGAAGAGTAACAAGAAGGGTTTCTACAGGTACGTTAGCAACAAGAAAAAGGTCAGGGAAAGTGTGGGACCCTTAATGAATGGGGGAGGCAACCTAGTGACAGATGATGTGGAAAATGCTGAAGTACTCAATGCTTTTTTTCCTTGGTCTTCACAGAAAAGGGCAGCTCCCAGACTGCTGCACTGGGCAACACAGCATGGGGAGTAGGTGAGCAGCCCTCAGTGGTGAAAGAACAGGTTAAGGACTATTTAGAAAAACTGGACATACACAAGTCCATGGGTCCAGATCTAATGCATCCAAGGGTACTGAGGGAGTTGGCTGATGTGATTGCAGAGCCATTATCTCTGAAAACTCGTGGTGATCGGAGGAAGTCCCAGATGATTGGAAAAAGACAAATATAGTGCCCATCATTAAAAAAAGGGAAAAAAGAGAATCCAGGGAACTACAGACCAAGTCAGCCTCACTTCAGTCCCCAGCAAAATCATGGAGCAGGTCCTCAAGGAATCCATTTTGAAACACTTGGAGGAGAGGAAGGTGATCAGGAACAGTCAACATGGATTCACCAAGGGCAAGTCATGCCTGACCAACCTGATTGCCTTCTATGACGAGATAACTGGCTCTGTGGATATGAGGAAAGCAGTGGACGGGATATAGCTTGACTTTAGCAAAGCTTTTGATACGGTCTCCCACAGTATTCTTGCCAGCAAGTTAAAAAATTATGGATTGGATGAATGGACTATAAGGTGGATGGAAAGCTGGCTAGATTGTCGGGCTCAGCTGGTAGTGATCAATGGCTCGATGTCTAGTTCGCAGCCGGTATCAAGCAGAGTGCCCCAGGGGTCAATCCTGTGGCAGGTTTTGTTCAAATTCTTTATTAATGATCTGGATGATGGGATTAATTGCACCCTCAGCAAGTTCACAGATGACACTAAGCTGGGGAGAGAGGCAGATATGCTGGAAGATAGGGATAGGATACAGAGGGACCTAGACAAATTGGAGGATTAGGCCAAAAGAAATCTGATGAGGTTCAACAAGGACAAGTGCAGAGTCCGGCACTTACGATGGAAGAATCCTATCCACCGCTACAGGTAGGGACCGACTGGCTAAGCGGCAGTT